CCTTTCAGGAGTCTCTCAGACACTAGCGCGTGTCCTCTTCTGAGACACCCCTAAACTGCTGTACCCAGAAGCACAGTTCCGATGCCCTCAGTAGTGAGGAGCATTGTGATCTGTTACAAAGAGTATCACAAACAGAAGTGAGGTAAACAAGAGCAAACATCATTAATAGTAAACTACCAATATTTCCCAATAATTTACATTTTTAGATAAATTAGAGTGGACTCAAATCCTTCTCCATAACAACATCCTCAGACTTCCTAGAATTCTAAAAGGCTTTCTTGGGTAGGAAAGGATGACTTCACACCTGGTCTTCCAAGCACTGCTTTTATCTTTTAAATACTGTGTAATATGAAGTGTAATAATCTCTTAAATGTATCTCATCAGGACTGAAAGGGCTCTGTGAGGTTGGGCTTAGTATATTCAGGTCCTCAGATACATGATTTCTTCAAACACGGTCTCTCACGTGTTCCTCTTAGGGAAGTGTTTCCAGAATTATGTGTTTATATTTGGACCTTTGTCTGGTCAGGGCTTTATGGATGCATCTCAGGATTTTACATCTGCTTCTGGCCACAAAATAACTGTAGGTTCCTCCCCTCACTAGGTTTTTATCACAATCTTTGATTACAATTTCTTTACAACCCTTGATTAAAATTTCTTCACTTCTTCACTTTCCTGTCATTTGTTAGAGCATTGGCTTTCCCCTTCAGGCTGAAAGCAATCTCAGAAGATTCTGAGTTTTACTGGTCTTTTTGGGTCACCTCCAGAAATACTCAGTAGTTCCTTGGAAGCCTGACACAGGGTTGCTGTGAATCACAACTAACTCGAGGATGCTTATAACAACAACAAAGACATCTAAGCAGCAGGAGGAACGAAGCATTTTTTTCATGGTTGTTCCTTCTGACCCCTCTTAATATAAGCATTATATCAGTTGACACCCCTTTCTTAAAACATCTATGTATTCCGAAAGCAGAGCTTGAGTCTAGTCTGACTTTATTTTTCCCCATTTGTTGTTGTTACGTGCTGTCAAGTCAGTTCTGACACAAATCGACCCTGTGTAAATTTCCAAGGCCACAAATGTTTGCAGGAGCAGAAAGCATCATGTTCTCCAATGGAATGGCTGGTGGACTCAAACCACAGACAGATGGACTCAAACTGCCTCAATCCACTGACCTTGTGGTTCACAGTCCAGTGGTTATCGTACGGAGCCACTATGTTCTCCCTTTCCCCCATTGTTGGTGTTGTTAAATGCCATCGAGTGGTTCCAACACAAAGGGATCCTATCTGGGTTTTCCAAGGAGCATTTAGTGAGTTTGAACTGCCAACCTCGCGGTTCAAACCAGCTTTGTAGTCTAGAACACCATAACCAGGACTCCTTTTCCCCCATGTGGTTGTTGTTAAGTGCCATCGAATTGGTTCTAACGCATAGCCACGCTGCATAGGTTTTCTGAGGAATCACTGGTGAGCTTGAGCCACTGACTTTGCAGTTCAAACTGACTTTGCAGTCCAGCGCATTAACTCACAATGCCAAACCAAAAGTCCTTTTCCCCCATGTTGTTGTTGTTAAGTGCTGTCGAGTCGGT